AGACTGCACCCCATAAACACAATCAAGCCTAGAAAAAACCCAGTGAACCACCCCTTTAATAAACATGCAGCTGTCTGTGTCATAATCGAACAACAAAACACAAACAGAAAATCTCTTCTTTTGACTGAATAACATTTGTAGCTTTAATGAGAATTTAATTAATATAGTGTAGACCAGTGGTTTTTAAACCCTGGGTCGTGACCCTTGGGTGGATCGCCAGGATGATTTAAGGGACAAGTATATATGTATGTAACAAAGTTCAATCCCCAGGGACGAAGGAAGGAAGCGGGAACCGGCAAACGTAACTTTAATAACAAATTAAACATAAACGGCCAAATGAAAGTAAGCGGCAGCCACCTCACAGCAAGCTTCAATGCATATTTGTGTTTGAGTTCTGGAGTGCATCAAAAGGTTTTTTATTTAAAACGTGTTTTTGCAGCGTTGAACATTTCAGCCAACCACAGATTTATCTGTCGATTTCAGGAAAGCAATGGCTAATCAGAGGTGTTTCAGAATCCACTCACCGCTCTCTCTCTCTCTCTCTCTCTCTCTCTCTGTGTGTGTGTGTGTGTGTGTACCTACTTAACCATATTTGGGGGAATTTGTACACAAAAGTGAGCAAAACCTGACAAAATCGCCAAAAACCTCCATTTGGGGACGTCCTCATTTGTAAAACTGGTATAAAAATAAAGTTTTTTTGAAATTGTAAAAATGTAGAAAGTTTCTGTGAGTGGTAGGGGTGGGTTTAGGTTAAAAAGTGTATAACTATCTGTATATGAAAACAATAGAAGTCTATGTAATGTCCCCATTTAGGTGTGTGTGTGTGTGTGTGTGTGTGTGTGTAAGAGCCCGTATTAAAAAAAAATTCTGAACCACTGGCTTGACCAGGCCAATAGAAAAAAAGTACTTAACACTGAGACCTGATGATTGTAAAGGGGACCGATCTGATTTGGTTGGACATTACAAACTAAAATTCTCCGTATTTCATGTTCCTTTGTCATCTTTTTCTCAGCCCACATTGTTCCAAACCTGTATGACTAAATGCTTTAAGGGTTCAACAGAAGACAGTCAGATTTGTATCAATATGTAGCGCAAAGTATTTATAAGATGTGGTGTGAAACTTTTTGTGTTAGTTTTAGTTTTGTGATCATTTAAGTTAAAATCTTCTGTAGCTCTCAATTCTCAACAGTGAGGGAACTTAAAGGGAGCAGTGCCTTTAAGCGCATGTAAATGTAAACTTTAAATGTACTTTTATTTGAACCCTAGTGGTGTCTTGCAGGAAATCGAGGTTCTGAGAAAGCAGGTGGACCATCTGACCGAGGAGAATGGGAAACTCTTGGGTCATCAGAACCCCAAGCAGAAGATTGAGTACCTGGTCAAGCTGAAAAAGGAGATCACCAGACTACAAGAGGTCAGAATGAACATGCAGAGAAGATTGTACATGTTTAAGTAGGAAAAACCATAACACTTAAATTGGCAGCTGTAGTCCCACTAGAGTTGAAAGGCCAAATGTCTTTTTCATAGAGGCATAGTAACTCTAAATATGGTGATCACATTTTATTGTTTCACAAGGTTTGTTTTTTTATGATTAAATATACCGCCTCAGGATCCTTAAATACCTTAATCATTCATTGATATACACCGAGGTTTGAGCTCTGACAAACAAGCATCAGAGCCATATTACAGAGTTTGGATTAGTTTCAGTCTACATGACTCTAGCATCAGCATGACACTGCCATCGATCTCATTTCAGAGTAGCAAGGCAGAAACTGTTTGTCTCAAAAAAACAAAACTGCTTCTCACATTTGCACCTGGATGATCCTCAAGAATTCTGGAACACAGAACTTTTTGGTAGACGTGGTCAAAAACCAAACATTCATTTCATAAGTGCTAGTGTGATGGTTTGAGGATGTTTTGCTGCATCAGGACAAATGCCGGACCCTGTGAAATCATTTTTTTTTTTGTATTATTATTATTATTTTTTAAGTATGTTAATCTTAAGGTTTTGTGTAAGCTAGTGTACTCCAAAACATTGTGTTCCACAAAAGAAAGTTTTTAAAGATTTGTTTTCCCCAAACCGTCTGAGAACCACATTGACTCATCATATGGACAAAAACAAGAGACATTTCAAAATATCTCATGTTCTACAGAAAAAAGCATACAGGTTGGAAACTATTGATGATAGAATTTTATTGAATTTGGGGTGAAAAATCCCTTTAAGTGTCACAGACTACAGAAAGTGCTTGGTTGCAGTTTTTACTGATAATGGTGGTGTAACTAGTTATTTACTCGTTTTATTATAAATGTTCCATTTCCTTCCATTAATTTAGCTACAGACTTTTTTTTTTTTTTAGCTGATTCAAGTAGAAGTAACTGTTAAAGCATCTCTCTTAACATGTTCATGATCCCAAGATGGGGAAGATTTGGCAAACTAATGACTCCGTTTCTGTGTTTTCAGGAAAACGGCAAACTCAGGCAGTGTCTTCATATGGAAGAAAGTCCTAACACGAGCCAATAACATGTTGACCCTGAACATGCTGGACCTAAAAACTAAACGAGATTAGATTCAATCACTTTTTAGGTTTTTAGATGTAATTGTTGGATTTGTCTGTTGATTTTGTTTGATTGTCTTCAATTTCAGAAGAACATAGTTAACATAATCTGCATCACACAAAGAGTACCGTTTTTCTCCAGATATTAGCATAACGCATTTAATAATCATTTTATACAAGTTCAGTAAAGCAATAAGTGACATACATTTTAGACATAATATTGTTTGTATTTGCTCAATTTTGGCAATGAAAATAGTTTCAAACAAAGATCACAGCACTGTTTTGCGTCTAGTATGCCTGCATGCATGGCCTGATGCGATTCCATTGCGGTACAATGCTGCCTTGAGGCAACGTGCAGTTTTTTGTAATTTCTTATGATACATTTGATGAAATATTATGTAAAGTTTTTGAAAATACTTCTTTACTTTCCAATGAAGGTGACTAAGATTTTTTGTAGGCAATTATATGCACGGAAATTGATGAAAAATGCACTTTTCATTGGACAAACATTCACATGTCCTGAAAGTGGAAACAAAATGGACCCCCTGTGGGTCATATGACCACTTTTTGGCTTACTCATTTATTAGTATTCGACTTCTACTTCCCTGAGACAGCATTGGTCAATTAAATGAGTCTCATTTTATTTAAAAAAAAAAAAACTAAATATGTTGTGTTGCCCGGCTTATGTGATAAAATGGGTGGCTCTTAAAAGAGCCTGTGTGGCAGCTGAAAGCTTCATAAGCTCTACTTGGAGCTGGTGTACTTGGTGACGGCCTTGGTGCCTCAGACACGGGTGTTTGGCCAGCTCTCCGGGCAGCAGCAGACGCACGGCGGTCTGGATCTCTCTCGAGCTGATGCTGCAGCGCTTGTTGTAGTGAGCGAGACGAGACGACTCACCGGCGATGCGCTCGAAGATGTCGTTAACGAAAGAGTTCATGATCCCCATCGCCTTGGAGGAGATCCCGGTGTCAGGATGAACCTGCTTCAGCACTTTGTACACGTAGATAGCATAGCTCTCCTTCCTGGACCTCCTGCGTAATTAATCTTTTCTGTTTCTTATAGCAGTTTTGTATTTTTTGTAGTGTGATCAACGTTTGCGTAAGTAGTAGACATATTAGAGAAGTAACACGTAACATTTTAATTATATTTTCCTAAAATGAACGAAATGACTCGAAAAAAGATTCGTTCATTCTGCTGAACGAGACTCAAAGGTCCGAGTCGGTAAAATTATCCGAACTTCCCATCACTAGCAGAAAGATGAGGGGTTTAAAATGTGGAGGGTCGTGCAGTGATTGGTTTTCAACTGTGATCGACTCTAACCAATAGACGAGGAGCACGCGCTGTTAAAAGCTGATTGTCAAGCTGCAGCGCTATTATTTCTGCAAAAGTTTATAGAAGCAACCACTTCAAAAGCATCAAAATGAGTGGCAGAGGTAAAACCGGCGGTAAGACCAGAGCGAAGGTTAAGACTCGCTCTTCCAGAGCAGGGCTGCAGTTCCCCGTCGGTCGTGTTCACAGGCTTCTCCGCACAGGTAACTACGGCGTTAAAGAACGAAGGTTTTTTTTAACCGTTTTCTGTTCAGTAGTTGGGTGCATTAAAAAAAAAAATGTTCTTAATGAATTTGGTGTCTTAGCATTAGATGTTAAAATGTTGATATGCAAATATGGCATGAAATTCCGTTTATTTATTTTTCTGATTATGTGCTCTGCATACAGTCTTATTGAAGTTGGCAAACATTTGAGACGTTCACTTCACATTGGCGTCCATCACACTGGATGTCCAGTTTTATTGGGGCCAATGCAAATTTATTTAAAGGGGTCATATGACGCTATTTTAAAGATAATTATTTTGTGTATTTGGTGTAACAGAATATGTTGACATGCTTTAATGTTCAAAAAACACTATTTTTCAAATACTGTACATTATTGTAGGTCCTCTATGCCCCGCCTCTCTCAAACACATAGTTTTCAACAAAGCCCCCTCCTTTGACAAGCGCAGTCTGCTCTGATTGGCCAGCTGACCCAGCGCATTGTGATTGGCCGAACACCACAAGCACGCGTCGGAAATGTAACGCCCCTTACCATAATCGCGAGCGTCAGCTTTCAAAGTAAATATCAAGACAGTTAATAATGTCGTTAGTTTTACCATCAGTTCAAGCCCGAAAGGGCAACACAGTCGCGTGACAGACACAGTGATGAAACTGGTATGTGTTTGCAGTACACAAGCCACGGTTAAAACAGCTGACTCCACTGTGATGTGACCCTGTCTCTCTCTCTCTCTCTCTC